GGGGGTGAGTCCGACGTGAAACGGAGACCCCCCCTACCGGGAAATCGATTTCGGTTTCGGGTTCGTGTCGTGCGTGCCGTGCGTGCGTGCGGGCGAGGAAAAGTTGCGGGGGCGGGCGAGAGGAAATCCTCCTGTGGCTGGGCCGCGGCTGGACCAAATGTAACTCCTCCGGCGGACAGTGCCACGCGGTGTCCCGCCGGTGTCCCGCATCCTCCTGTGGCTGGGCCGCGGCCGGACCAAACGTTTCTCCTCCGGCGGCCGGTGCCGCGCGGTGTCCCGCCGGTGTCCCGCTGGTGTCCCGTGGTGTCCCGTAGTGTCCCGTGGTGTCCCGTTGGGTGAGATCGATAGTGAGATCGATAGTGAGATCGATGTGGTGCCCCGAGTTGTCCCGTGGTGTTCCGTGGTGTCCCGTTGAGTGAGATCGATAGTGAGATCGATAGTGAGATCGACAGTGAGATCGAGAGGTGTCCCGTGGTGTCCCGTGGTGTCCCGCTGAGTGAGATCGATAGTGAGGTCGATGTTGAGATCGATGTGGTGCCCCGAGGTGTCCCGTGGTGTCCCGTGGTGTCCCGCTGAGTGAGATCGATAGTGAGATCGATCGTGAGACCGATAGTGAGGTCGAGAGGTGTCCCGTGGTGTCCCGTTGAGTGAGATCGATAGAGAGTTCGATAATGAGATCGATGTGGTGTCCCGAGGTGTCCCGTGGTGTCCTATGGTGTCCCGCTAAGTGAGATCGATAGTGAGATCGATAGTGAGACCGATAGTGAGATCGAGAGGTGTCCCGCGGTGTCCCGTGGGGTCCTGTGGTGGCCCGTGGTGTCCCGTGGTGTCCCGTTGAGTGAGATCGATAGTGAGATCGATAGTGAGATCGTAAAGTGTCCCGTGGTGTCCCGTGGTGTCCCGTTGAGTGAGATCGATAGTGAGATCGATTGAGTCAGATGTTGGTGCCCCCCCCTCTCCCACCCCCACAACCTCCTTATCACCCGAAGGGTCGCTGTACAGGTACATCTGACCATCGCCTGGAGGATCAATTTTCGGGGACCTCGGCAGGCGGTGGATATAGATATATTCGGGCCCCCGGGGGCCAACATATATCCATATCCACCGCTCGCTGGGACACCAGGACGTCGGTTCCCAGGCGGTGGATATGGATAAATCCCCGCCTCGCATTCGAGGATTTCCAAGGTTCGCACCATCATAATGAGGGCGGGTCTGCTGAGCCCTATGATCTGCACGCGTGCCGGGTTGCTGATGGGACGTCCCGCCGGCTCAAGGCCACCCTGCCGTCGCATAGGCATACGCGTTCACCATTTTATTGGATGCTGAAGCGGGTGCGTTCGCCGAAGACGCGACTAGAATTGGTAGCATCCTTCTGGCTGAGTGCGAAAAGCGTCAAGGGCAGGCGAGAGGCGACGCACGGGAAGCTGCGCAACTCCTGCAGGCTTCCCGATTCTTCTGCAGATATGCTCTGGCAACCGCCCCGGGCTGAATAGTATACCCGATGTCGCGTATAAGCGTGCTGCGAAATTGTTGATTGATGTCTTCAGGGAAGCTCTTGCTGATCCGCAAAATGCTGACGTCGAGGTTGGGTCTGATATTCTCAGCGTTCTGTTGGTGCCTATCGGGAAGGTGGTCAATCCCACGCACGTCGAGCACCTCTGCGATGAGCTGACGAACTAAGATCGTAAAGTAGTGTCCTGCATGGTGGCCATGCTACTGGATGCAGCGGCGGAGCGATCTTCGCACTCGGCCCAGCAGGCTTTCATCAAAGGCCGTAATATTGTCAGGAGTATCGTCGGGCCGAACGAAGCTGATTATTCTTCCGTTGATGACGGCACCTTGCAGGCTCTCCTCTGTGCCGACTGCTCCTAGGGATATAACTTCGTGGGGTTCTTTTTCGTGCGCCAGGTGTTGGAGTGCGCTGGGCTGCCAGATGCAATTTTAAACATCATAGGTGCGATGATCAACGACTGCACGTCCGATCTGCTTGTTTTTGGCAGTGCGATGCGCACGCCGGTCTTGAAGAGAGTGGCTTGTGGCAGGGCGATCCGCTGTCCTGCTTTCGTTACATTCTCTCTGTGGACGTCTTCTTTTTTAGAATCTCGGCGACCGTGTGGGGGTGGGATTCCTGTCAGGCCTCGAAGGCGGTGACAGTCTCGCAGATCGCAGCGCGCACTAAACTGGAGCCCCCAGCAGCCCTCGACAGTGGCGGCAGTTTCGCATATCGCAGCCCCCCAGGGATGGCGAGGTCGGAGGCAGGTGTGGAAGAGGTACGAGACAGGAGGAGAAAGAGAGAATGAGAGAGAGAGAGAGAGAAAGAAAGAAAGGGAGAGAGCGATGAAGGGGGCGGGAAAGGAGGGACGCGACCACAGTGCTCTATGCAAAACGAAAACCCAACAACGGAGGGTTGGGAATAACCAAGTCCTGTCGTGCCTCCGCCATCCGGGCCCTGGCCCCGAGCCCAAGCCCGAACACCAGCCCGAGCCGAGCCCGGACCTGCGCCCCAGCCCGAGTCCGAGCCCGCCTGTCCCGAGCCCGTCCCAAACCCGAGGTCGAGCTCGAGGTGGGTTCCGAGTCCCATCCCTGGCCCGAGCCGCAGCCCGAGTCGGGCCCGAACCGTTGCCCGAGTCGAAGTTTCGTTTATAGCCCCTGCCCCGTAATATTGTAGATGTATATGTATATGTTTATGTATAGTCATATGTTGTTGTGCATGCGTATGTATATGTATAAACAGATGTATATGTACATGCACATGTGCATGTACATGTATACATATATATATACATATATGAATATGTGTTTGTGCATGCTGACACATATATATATATGTATATGTATATATATATGCATATGTATATGTATCTGTAGGTTGTGCATGCATACATATGTGTATACGCGTATGCACATGTTTACTTGATTGTAGATGTATGTGTGTAGGTGTATGTATACATATGTGTATGTGTATGTGTACGTATATGTATGTATACATGCGTATATGTATAGGTCAACGCGTATGCGTATGTCTATAGGTAGATGTATGTGTATGCGTTTATGTTTGTGTACATGTATAAGTATATGGACATGTCAATGTTCATGTTTATTTCTATGTACACGTATATGTATGTGTGCATGTGTATTTACGTATATGGATATGTATATGTAGGCACACGTGTATGTACACAGGCATATGTTTGTTTGTGTTTATGTTCATGGGATTATGTGTATAGGTGTGTGTACACATTTCTTGCTAATGTACACGAGCACGTATACGTAACTGTATTCGTGTATGGACCTGCATACCTATAAGCACAGGTGTATGTGTATCTGTATGCGTATATGTGTATATCTCAATGTATGTGTATACGTATATGTATGTGCATTTGCAGTTGTATATCTATATATATATGTGTATGTGCATATGCAGATGTTATGTCTGCATGTATGGATGTACGCCCGTCCGTAGGTCTGTCTGTATGTATATATGCATCTATATATACATACACATATATCTATATGTGTATACATATGTCTAGGTATACATCTTTGTATGTCGGTCTATCCGTATGCCTGTATGTCTGCATGACTGTATGTATGTGTGTATGTATGTATGTATGTATGGAATGTAATGTAATGTAATGTAATGTAACGTAATGTAATGTAATGTAATGTAATGTAATGTAATGTAATGTAATGTAATGTAATGTAATGTAATGTATGTATGTATGTATGTTTGTATGTATATATGTAGGTATGCATGCATGTATGTATGCATGTATGTATGTGTATATATGTCTCTCTCTGTATTTATGTATATATGTCTGCATGCCTGTATGTATGTGTGTTTATACATGCGTATACATACATATATATGACTAATTAAGCTCTTCTTTATAATTTTGTAAACTGGGGGTGGGACCCCCCCACAAGAAAACCGACCCCCCAGGATCCGGGGGTTCGGGGCCCACTGGACATCCTTGCCAAATGTCCCCCGGCTCGTCCAGGACCTCCCAAGGCGCCTAGCCAGGTCTTGCTGGCAGAACCCAAGCGATCAGAGCGGTGATCATAGAGGCCGACGAGAGATCCAAGACAGCACGAGAGCGCTCCATGGCCTCCAGATGCCCCCAAGACGACCCAGGAGGCCCTCCACCCGATTTCCAGAATGCAGAAATCGCTTCATCTGTTTCAGGGGAGCGTACAATTTCAGCATATTCGCTGTTCGGGTCCTCGCAGCGTCCACAACAGCCAGAAAAGGCCTACAATATCGCCCCAAGACGACCCAAAACGCCCCCAAGAGAGTCTCTAGACGGCCTGGATGGCCCCAAGACTGCCCAAGGAACCCCCAAATGAGCCAAACAGAGGCCCAACATGCCTCCAGAAGGCGCCCAAGAGAACCCCAAAAAGGCACGGGAGGCCCCCAAAAAGAGCACGGGAGGCCAAGGAGGAGGAGGATGAGGAGGAGGAGGGGGAGGAGGAGGAGGAGGAGGAGGAGGAGGAGGTGGAAGAGGAAGAGGAGAAGGATGAGGAGGAAGAGGATGAGGAGGAGGAGGAGGAAGAGAGGAAGAGGAGGAGAGGAGGAGGAGGGGGGGAAGATGAGAGGAGGAGGAGGAGCAGGAGGAGGAGGAGGAGGGAGAAGGAGGAGGAGGAGGAGGAGCAGGAGGGGAGGAGGGAGGAGGAGGGAGGAGAGGAGGAGGAGGAGGAGGGAGGAGGAGGAGGAGAGGAGGAGGAGGAGGAGGAGGAGAAGGGGGGAGGGAGGGAGGAGGGAGGGAGGGAGGGAGGGGAGAGAAGGAGGAGGGAGGGGAGGGGGTAGGGAGGGAGGGAGGGTGGAAGGGAGCGAGGGAGGGAAGGAGGGGGGGAGGAAGGGAAGGAGGGAGGCAGGGAGGAAGGGAGGGTGGGAGGGAGGGAGGGAGCAAGGGAGGAGGAGGAGGAGGAGGAGGAGGAGGAGGAGGAGGAGGAGGAAGAGGAGGAGGGGCCCGGCGCCGCGCCCTGAAGGCGCCGAGGAGTGGGCGGCGCTCGGCTGGCCTCTCCACCAGCTGTGTCCTGGCGGCACCGGCAGCACCGCGTGCATCGAGGACGGCCGGTGGCTTTCCTCCACAGGGGTCGTGGGGAAAATGGGGCTCCACGTCGAGCCGCATGGGCCTGGGGACCGTCAGATTGAAGAGAGCTGGGGACGTGCGAGACAAACGTAGAACGGTGTCTAAGATAGCAAACACGACGCGACGCGACGGTGCTTTTGTATGGCAGACGCCGCGCAGAACGTCGTCACGCGCCCACCCGCTGATCGGGCGGGCACACACAACCTGTCGATCCGCGGGGCGGACTTGTTCTTGCATTTGTCGGAGACAGTGTGTCAACTGGTTGGCTCGATGTTTGGTGTGCTTGTATGCTGGCGTTGCGAGTCGTCTCGCGGTTGCTTCGTGGCTGGCTATCTGCCGCCGTGAAGTGTTGCGTGAGGGTTTGCCTGCGGTCCGTGCATTGGGCGGTCCTGCTGGCCTGGTGGCCGTCGTCCCGTGGCTCGCGGCCCCGGAGGGTTCCAGAGGGCTTCTGGGGAGGGCGTTTTCCAGAGAGCCCCCCAGGGGCCTCGGAACCTCGTCAAAACAGGGGGTGCGAAGCCCCGGGGGGACCCCTCCTGGAGAACTCCCTCTCCCCAAACCTCCGGGCGGCCGTCCCTGACAGAACCCTCATGGGTCGACTGGGGGTGCTGACTGCCTTGGGCGTGGTGGGTGGCCGTCGTGCGCTCCTGGCCGTTGGCGGGCTGGGCCGCCCTGGCAGAGAGGAGGTGAGCTTGATTGGAACTGGCCCCGTCGGCCGGCGCGTACAGAGAGAGAGAGAGAGAGAGAGAGAAGGAGAGAGAGGGAAGCAGAAAGAGAGGATAAGTAAACGAGCGGGAGAGAGAGAGAGAGAGAGAGTGGGAGAGTGAGAGAGAGAGAGACATAACTATACACACATAGATATATGTATGCATATATGTGTGTATATATATAGAGAGAGAGGGAGAGAGAGAGAGAGAGAGAGAGAGAGAAACAAAAAAATAACGAAAGAGCGAGAGAGAGAGAGGGATATGTAGGTGGAGACACAGAGAGGTAGAGGGCAAGCTCGTTGCGCTCGCGCCTCGTCTGGCATCCAATCCCTCCCTCCTATCCCTTCCCACTGCGGTGAATTTCTCTATCCGCGGACGCGTGTTATAGCCGACCTGCAACTCTAACCTGAAGACCACATCGTGCGATTCGCAATCGGAAAAAACGGGAGCTGCGTGCACACGAACTGGAGTGGAAGGAGCGGGAGGAACAGTAGGACCAGGGGATTGCGGAGGAGGGAAAATCAGAGGCCGGCAACAATAAAGACAGACTCGGATCCAGCAAAGTGTCCCGCGCTGGGGCGAGAGCGCTGTTCTGAACGACGGGAGCAAAGCGCCGATCTGAAAATGAGGCCCACGCTGCAGCGGGAACACCATTTGGAAACATCGAAAACAATCGGAGTGGGAAACAATTCGCAAGAACAACCAACTTTTGACATCCAGTGTACAGAAAACGGCATGCGGAGAGGGCCTGGTATCTTCCGGACGGTGAAACGGGGTGAGGTCGTCCATCGTGATTTCCCTGGCGACGCCCACGTCTGGCGGCCGAACTCCTAGGCCCTTGATATTATCGATCTCCCCGACGGCCTCGATGACCTGAATAGCCTGGCCCCGATATCCTGGTTATCATTGACATTGATGTCTTCGATGTCCTCGATGCCCTCGCTATCTTCGATATCCTCGCCATCCTCGATGTCTCCAGTGCCCACGATGTTCCCATGCCCCCGATGCTCTCGATGCCTTCGACCTCCTCGATGTCTTGGATGTCCCTGATCGGCCCTCCGTCGAGAGAGGGCCTCGAATGCCTGAGGAAACGCAGGAGGAGGAGGAGAAGGAGGGGGAGAAGGAGGAGGAGGAGAAGGAGGAGGAGGAGGAGGAGGAGGAGGAGGAGAAGATGAGGATGAGGATGAGGATGAGGATGTGGATGAGGATGAGGATGAAGATGCTGCTGATGATGATGATGATGATGATGATGATGATGATGATGATGATGATGATGCTGCTTACGATGATGATGACGATGATGATGATGATGATGATGATGATGATGATGATGATGATGATGATGATGAGGATGAGGATGAGGATGAGGATGAGGATGAGGATGAGATGAGGATGAGGATGAGGTGAGGATGAGGATGAGGATGATGAGGATGATGATGCTGCTGCTGCTGCTGCTGATGATGATGAGGAGGAGGAGGAGGAGGAGGAGGAGGAGGAGGAGGGGGAGGGGGAGGAGGGGGGGAAGGAGGAGGAGGAAGGAGGAGGAGGAGGAGGAGGAGGAGGAAGAGGAAGAGGAGAAGGAGGGGGAGGAGGAGGAGGAGGAGGAGGAGGAGGAGGAGGAGGAGGAGGAGGAGGAGGAGGAGGAGGAGGGCGGCCTGCGCCCGCGGCGCGGCCTGCGGAGGCCAGGAGGAGAGGAGGAGGAGGAGGAGGAGGAGGAGGAGGACCTCCCCCTCTGGGGCCCCAGGAGAGCTCGCCGGCGCCCTCCGACGCGCCAGAACCCGCGCCCGCGCCGCCCCGCGGCGCGGCGGCTGTAGCGCCCAGCTGCGGCGGTGGGCGTGGGCGCCGGCCACAAGCAGGGGCGACGGCGGGAGGAGGAGGAGGAGGAGGAGGAGGAGGAGGAGGAGGAGGAGGAGGAGATGGTGTAATCCCAGGATTCATCATCGGAGTAAGCCCTCCCTCCAAGCTCCCTCGTCACAGGCCCCTACAAGGGATCATTTTTCACTGAGGGAAGTACCCCCTTGGGGGGCAACCGTTTGAAGATCTTGAAGCGTCTCCAACGCCACGATTCAGCCTGACTGTTGCGTCTTGACGATCCTGAATCGCGCTAGCACACCATTCCTGGGACGTCCACACCTCGAATCAATGTAACTCTTGCGCCCTGAGAACCCCCAATCGTTCAACATACCATCTCTGGTTCGTCAAACATGGGAACCGTGCAACTCTTGCATATGTTTAAGACGAGTGTGCGCGGCGCTAAGGCGAGATCTACATTTTGAAAAGGAACTTCTCTCAATCCGTGAACATATGGTATTCTTTAAGACGCATGTGCGCGGCGCCAAAGCGAAAACCACATTTTGAAAACCACCCGCCCTCAATCCGTGAGACTCTTGCAAACCTTGGACGCTTCGCGTAACTCCACCCATCCAAACGATGCCACGGAGAGTTGAGGTGATCAGGGAAGTGTAGGAGCAAGAGAGGGGGCCGCTGCTATCTTTCAAAGCGGATGAGGAGGACATGGAGGATGGGGAGGATGAGGAGGAGGAGGAGGACATGGATGATGGTGATGATGATGATGATGATGATGATGAGGATGATGATGATGATGCTGATGATGCTGATTACGATGATGATGATGATGATGATGATGAGATGATGATGATGATGATGATGATGATGATGATGATGATGATGATGATGATGATGATGACGATTCTGATGATACTACTCCTGATGATGATGCTGCTGATGATGATAATGGCGACGACGATGATGATGATGATGCTGATGATGAGTATGCTGATGATGATGATGCTGAAGCTGATGCTGATGCTGATGCTGATGCTGATGCTGCTGCTGCTGATGATGATGATGCTGATGCTGATGATGATGGTGATGATGATGATGATGCTGATGCTGGTGATGATGCTGATGCTGGTGATGATGATGATGATGCTGATGATTATGATGATGATGATGATGATGATGATGATGATGATGATGATGATGATTATGATGATGATGATGATGATGATGATGATGATGATGATGATGATGATGATGATGATGATGATGATGATGATGATGCTGATGATGATGATGATGATGCTGATGATGATGATGATGGCGACGACGATGATGATGCTGCTGATGATGATGAGTATGCTGAATATGATGGTGATGATGTTGATGATGCTGATGCTGATGATGCTTGATGCTGCTGATGATGATGATGATGATGAGGAGGAGGAGGAGGAGGAGGAGGAGGAGGCTGAGGAGGAGGCGGAGGAGGAGGAGGAGGAGGAGGTGGAGGAGGAGGAGGAGGAGGAGGGGACGAGCGAGGAGGGAGGAGCGAGGAGGGAGGAGCGAGGAGGAGGGAGGAGGGAATAGGCAGACGAGAAGGGGAAGGAGGGCGTGCAGAGGGCCAGTTGGATGCGTCTCGGAGTCTCTTGTGGGATGTCTCTTGGGGGCTTCCCGGGAGTCCTTCTTGGGGCGTCTTGGCCGCTCAGGGGGCCTCTTGTGGGCCTCCCGGGGTCCTCGTGGGGCTCTCTTGGGGCTCGCTTGAGGCTCTATTGAGACCTTCTCTTGGAAGCCCTGGAGGCTCTCTTGAGGCTCTCTTGAGGCTCTCTTGAGGGCTCTCTTGGGAGCCCTGGGGGCTCTCTTGAGGCCATCTTGGAGGAGGTCGCCCAAAGAAGGTGGGAGCTTTCATTCGCGGCGCCCATCTGGAGTCCCCAAAGTCGCTTCTCGGAGCCCTCTTGGGGCCGTCTTCGGACCCCCTTGGGCCTCTCTCGGGGCTCTCTTGGGCCACCTTGGGTCCATCCTGGCGCCTCGGAGAGCCATCAGAAGCGAAAAGACGAGAACGCAAAAGACATGGAATTTCCTCAGGTTTGGGGAGGATATTGGCCTCTTGGATGCTCTCTTGGGGGTGCTCCGAGGCTACCTGGAGCCGCCTTGGGGCGGTCTTGGAGCCTCTTGGATCATGTTGGAGGCTAGCTTGAGCTATCTTGAGCTATCTTGAGCCATCTTGGAGGATCTGCTGGGCTCTCCGAGGTCCTCTTGGAACCATCTTGGGCCGTCTTGGACGCTCCAATGGGTCGCGGGGTGCCCCGTCCAAGTCCAGGGGTAGGGGGTACGGGGTACGGGTAAGCCCCTCCCCGAAGGGGAAGAGGGAAAGGTGGAAGAGAAGACACGCTAAACCACCTACGCCCAGAGGACGGGTGGGATTTGCAATATGAGGTGTGCTCCGCGCTAAGGCGAGAGCCACATTTTGGAAGCGGCCCGCCCTCCATCTGGGAAGCTGCTGCGAATTGTCAGCTTCAGGGTCATAAGTGGTAAGAAAATATCAGGCGAAACACCCAGACCGCCCTTCCGACGGGCCTCGGGGTGCGACAGGGAATAGTTATCTTTCAGGAAGAGGAATGGATACATATTATGTTGATGCTGTTGTTGTTGTTGTTGCTGTTGTTATTGTTGTTGTTCTTGGTGTTGTTGTTGTTGTTGTTGTTGTTGTTGTTGTTGTTGTTGTTGTTAATGATGGTAATGCTGATGCTGATGATGCTGCTGATGGCGATGCTGATGATGCTGATGATGAGGAGGATGAACATGATGCTGATTATGGTAATGACGAGGATGATGATAAGGACAATTATGATGATGCTGATGATGATAATGATGATGATGAGGATGATGCTGATGCTGATGCTGATGATCATGATGATGCTGCTGCTGATGATGATGATGATGATGCTGGTGATCATGATGATGATGGTGATGATGATGATGCTGCTGATGATGATACGGATTATGCTGTTGTCGATGCTGATGCTGATGCTGATGAGCTGCTGATGATGCTGGTGATCATGATGAAATGATGCTGATGCTGCTGCTGATATGATGATGATGATGATGATGATGATGATGATGATGATGATGATGATGATGATGATGATGATGATGATGGTGGTGGTGGTGGTGGTGGTGGTGGTGGTGGTGGTTGTGGTGGTGGTGGTGATGATGATGATGAGGAGGAGCAGGAGGGGGAGGAGGAGGAGGAGGAGGAGGAGGAAAAGGGGGAGTAAAAGGAGGAGGAGGAGGAGGAGGAGGAGGAGGTTTGCCCTTGCACCTCCACTTCTACAAGTCCGCCCTAATGTTTACAGCAGCAGCTAAAGAGTCAGATGTTTACGCACAGTTTCAACCGCCTTAGCCCCATCTCGCTCCGCCTCGCCCTTGTGCCGCCCAGGAGCCAACGTCCCACCTCAGTTCCAGGGTGTCACCCTGGCAGGGGTGCCAGGCTTGCAGGGCCCCCGGCGCGAACAGCCGCCGCTCCTGTCAGCTGCCACCTGCCTGCAACCCCTCGCTGTGAATTCTACTCCTCTCCCCCACTTCTGATCAGACGGGCACCTCAGTAGATGGGGGACCCTGGGCGCTCTGCAGGGCGCTGGCCCGAGGTGGCCAGTTGACCCGAGGGATAGAGAGGACCCGGTACAGCCACAAGAACACGCGGCCCGAGGGCCCACTCCCCATTTTCTGGAGGGGGGCACTGCTGCCACACTTTACAGCTGCCGCCACTCACCACCTCTCCTTATCTATTCTTCTTGAGCTAATGATTTTCGGTTCGATGTCTCTCCTCTCTCCCCCCCTCCTCCTGTACGTTAACCGTTTTAACCTACTCCAAGCCACGCGTAGCCACGTGTGTCGCCGGTGGCCCTGGGGCGGTGCTCTGGGGGTCACCTGCTACTCGTTTGATCACCCTCCCAGGGCCGACCGGCCCTGGGGTGGGGTGGGCTGCGTCGGCGCGACACTCCAGCCGACAGGTAGCAGGTAACGGGAGGAGGAGGAGGAGGAGGAGGAGGAGGAGGAGGAGGAGGAGGAGGAGGGAAGGCCGAACAAGGAGCGGAGAGGCTGTCCTGGCCGTGGCCAACCTCGGCCACGAATCGACCCCCCGACCTGGACCTACGGAGCGGCCCGAAAGCGAGCCTCCTGAATGCAAAGTGGCCCTTCCTGTGGTGCGTTCTGGCCAGGATTTCGCGACGGATCCAGCCGTGGCGACTGGCCCAGGAGCGCCCGCGAGCCTCGCCCCCCGATCCTCGAACCTCGATCCTCGGGGCCTCGATCCCATGCATCCGGGGTCGAACAAATCCGAGTGTCAGAAATCCAGACTCGCCGCCGCCGCCCGAGGACCCCCCGCCGCCGGCTGGGGTGCGCCGAGCAGGGGGGCCAGGAGCATGGGGGTCAGCGCGTCATGGCCCCCAGGCACGTTGTACGCGGACGAGGGGGCGGCCAGGGACCGTTGACAGAAGAGAAGGGGGCCAGGACATCTGGAAGACGCTGCAGCAAAGGGCCACTCCCCGCCGCCGCCCGAGGACCCCACCGCCGGCCCGGGTGCGCCGACGAGCGGGGCCAGGGTAGGGTGTGTCTGGCCAGTCTGGCGCGTATTCTTTCATATCTTGCGATGTTTCTGAGGGCGCCTCCCTGAGATCGCCATCGCCTTGGGCATCTCGGTCCAAGGGTGAGACGGTGAGACCGCGGCTGGCTCGCATCGTTGACGTCTCCTCCTCCGGCTCCTGCCGACGACGTCACGCCGCCGGTGGTCCGGGGGCAGCGGGGCGGGGCCCTCCTGCGGCGGCGGCGCCGTCCTCCGCCGGAGGGCGGCGTGCGGCGCATCGGCGGCCTGGCCGTGGGCGGCCTGCGGCGGGGGGTTCTCGGAGGCCCTCGGGGGGGCCCTTCTCGGGGGACCTCCACGGGCATCACCCAAACACACGCTCAGACTGTGTGTGTGTGCTTCGGCCGGCATTCTCATCGTGATGTGATGCGCTGGTCTCATTCGTGCTTCGACTGGCGAAGCGCATGCCTCGCCAGGCTCGTTTGTCCGTGAGCCGCGCGATTGGGATAGCCCTCTTGCGGGGCCGCGGCTTTCTCTATCTGCCTTTTCCTGGTTGTTGTCGGTGGAGAAAGCTATGTGTGTGTGTGTGTGTGTCGGCCCCCCTAGGGGTGACGCGCGCGCTCACAAACCTTACAGTACATGCTCGGTGGTGGGTGCTTTCTGGCCATACTGTTTGGGGAACGGTTACTTATACACATTATATATATATATAAAAAAAATTACACAAGCAACACATGTGTGTACATATTTATATAGACGTACATCTAGATGTATTTGTGCTATCTGATCAGTTCGGACGTGGGCCTCCAAGGAGGGCGCGTAGCTCCAGTATGTCCATCTTCGTCCGACTCCCAGGGCCAGCAGGTGCTGGGAGGCCTTCCGTGCGGCGGCGGCGGCAACAGCAGTGCCTGTTGGCGGCGGCGGCGGCAAAGGCTTTCAGGCGACGAGGAGGACGACGGCGGCGACAGCGACGGTGCTCCCCTCCCGAGGTCCATCTAGGATTGTGGAAGTCGATTAATGGAGAGGAAGCATGCTGCCAGATAATTTCCGGATTTCTAGAACATGCTTCAAGCATGTTTCAAATATGTTAAAACATATTTGAAACATGCTTAGAACATGTTTCACACATTTTAAACACATGTTTAATTCAATGATAGGGTTGCTAGAGCGTCCATTGTCATGGCATCCACAAATCTAGGATAGTTCTTTCCCCAGATCTGGTTCTGACGGTCCGGGGGCCCAGGCCCGGGGCTCGACTCGGGCCCCGAGGGGCCGAAGTCCGGAAAGACCTCTCCTCCACCCCCTCTTCCGCCGACTGCGACGATAAGGATGACCTCCGCAAGGAGGGCGCACGGCTCCGGCGACGACGGCAGCGGCGGCGACGACGAGGGCGGCCTTTGGTGGCCTCCGGGAGCCTCCGAGAGAGCTCTCCTGAACCACCTGTGAGTCCTGCCCAAACCACCGGGAGCATCGCAGGACGCTTTCCGGATGACTGTCTGGGGTCGCAGAGTGGAAGTCCTCGAGCGCTGGCCGTGGCGGCGGCGACGGCCTCCGCGAGGGGGTCGGCGCGCCCTCAGGCGGCCGCGCGGGCGACGAGGTGCTGGCCTGCGGCCAGAGGCCGACCGCGACGGAGGACTGCGCGGCGGCGGCGGCGGCGGCCCCGCCGCGCGTCTCTGCCCCAGGCATCCCAGACATCTCCTCCCGTAAAGTGACAACAAGTGGAACCCTTGACACCCCGCCCCCCCCTATCTCAAAGCCGGCCTCAAGCATTCGGCAGCGCAGGCGTGAGAAAGAGAAGTGGAACCTCCAGGGCCTCTGGGAGGCTGGAGCCAACCTTGAAATGGGGGGGAGGTTGGCGTCGAACGCGGGGTCGAAGACGAATGGGGTTCCACTTTTTTGTCTCCTCACCGTCCTTCGTGTCCTCCTCCTGCGGGGAACAGTCACACCTGGAGGGGGGGGGGGCTGCACCTGTGACGGTTCGTTCTCGTCTTGTCTTCTGCCGCCGCCACCAGCAGCGCAGCTGGACCAGTGAGCGAACGCCCAAGGCAGAGGATTGGGTAGGGTCGGCCAATTCCCTTCCTTCCCCCCTTTTGGTCGGTGCTACTCTCTCCCTCCCTCCCTGCCTCCCTCACTCCTATGAGGAAAAGACCCCGTCGCATGCCATCGCAGTCGGGGAAAAGACCCCCGTCGCATGTCAGAGCGAGGCGGAGGAGCTCGAACGCACGTGATCCGCTCAACTTAGCCACCAGACATCTTTGTCGCGATCTGAGGGCTGCGTCCCTCCCGCCGCGCTTCTACGGGAGGCGTCCTCCAGGAGGTATTCGGAGCTCCGCTCCGCTCCGCTCCCTCCCTCCCGCCAGGCAGATTTCTTCTGGGCAGCCACGCTGCCCGCTCGATCCTGCGCCAGTCTCGCATGTTGGTCATCCGCGCCCTCGGAGGTCAGCTCCAAGGCCCGTGCGTGTCTCACCCGGTCGTGTGGTCGCCAGGATGTCCGCTCCCCGTCTCCTGCTCCTCCCAATCAAGAGTCCCAGGCATCCGCGGGCCCCTGGGCCGCGACCTCGTGGGTACGGGGAGTTGTTCCGCGGGCGCCCCGCGGGGGATGTGTCCGTGCGACCGCGTGTCCACGGGGTCGCGCCCCAGAGTCCGCGAGGGCGTGGATGCGCATACGTTCGCTGCTAGTGATGGTGGTAAGGCTTTGTGAAGATGCTTGCGCACAGACAGCTCGCGACGATGGCTGCTCGTGGTGATGGCTGTGAGGATTCGTGGTGATATGTATACGTTCGCTGCTCGTGATGGTGGTTGTGCACAGATGATGTGTACGTTCGCTGCTCGTGATGCTCGTGATCTGGTCGCTGCTCGTGATGATGGTGAGGCTTCGTGGTGATATGTATACGTTCGCTGCTCGTGGTGGTGGTTGCGCACAGACAGCCCCTCCCGGAAGTCCCAGCCGGCCTCAACAGGCCCCCTAATGCCAGCCGGCCTCACGAGGCCCCGCGAGTGGTCTGGAGCGGTTGTAACACCTCAGCCCTGGGGCGCGGAGCGCCCCAGGGGCGCTGCTGGAGGTGGCGCCAGGGGGAGGCCTTTCGTGGCCAGCGGGGACCACTTGGGGGGACTGTTTGGGCTCAGCCCGAATCCTTACCAGCACGTGCTCAAGTCCCGGGATCCGACGTGGCGAAAAATAGCAGCATCGCGAAAAAGCATGACCAGAGCCCTTGACCCCATGATTCCGCGCCATTTTTCGAGCCACACCGATCTGTGACGGTCGCGGGGCCCGAAACAAGGCAGCACATCGCCTGGTGTGAGACATTGCGATGCCAGGATCTCAGGGTTTCTGTCGGCGGCGAGCCCAGGGGGGAAGTCCGAGGGGGCGGACATTCTTAGGAGGCTCGGAAGGTCTTCGGCCTTCTGAGAAGTCTTCTAAACTTTTTTTGCGTCGGCGGCTAGGCAGGGGTCGTCTGCGCTGGCGGAAGGAGCTATAAACGGGGACACCGTTTAGCGAATTGCGCCACATTCCAGGAAAAAAGGTGAGAGGACAGGGGGGCGGCCGCAGAGGGGGGGGGAGGGGCGAGGGCCGCTCAGGGGGACAAGAAGTCTGCTAAGCATCCTCCAGAGACCCACAGGGAACTCTCCAGCATGCCAGGGGGCTTCTGGGGAGCTCCGCCGCCTTCCGAGAAGGCACTGCCCCCTTCTGGCTTCCCACCGGGCTCGCCGCCACTCCCGTGCCCCAGGCTCAACTCGGGCGTGTCCCTATAGAGGAGGAACATTCAAAAGCAGTTCAAAGATAGTCTTGGGACGATTTTTCGATTATGTTGCGTGTGTGTGTATATATAAGTATGTTCTTATGCAAAGGTATATATATATATATACACATACATCGTCCAAAATCCGCCTGTAGAGAGACATGCCCGACCTAACCCCAGGCATCCCTGACATCCCAGGCATCCCGCGAGCCCTCGCGCCAGGCCGCCCCGCGGTGGCGGCCTCGAAAAGCCGGCCGCGAGCGCAGCCAGGGGAGCGGCGCACGGGGCCGAGCCTCTCCTCGGGGGGCGGGGGCGGCTCGGAGTTTCTCGGGGCCGCCCGGGCCAAGGATCCCCCGCTGTGCTGAGGCTGGGCAGGCTCCAGGCGCCACCCGCAGTGTTCAGTCGGGCGTGTCCCGCTGCAGGAGGAATATTCAGAAACAGTAACAAAAATAGCCTGGGAACGATTTTTCGAGTGTTTCTGCATATTTTTTTCCTCAAACAGAAAATGCACTGTTTTGGATTTTTCCTTCAAAATCTGCCTGTAGGGGGACATGCCCGACCTGACCATAGCTTATGCGATCGCAAACTTGGATTAAGGGGGCGTGGATTAGCGACGGGTCCCGTTTCCACGGGAAGTCGCGGGTCTCCGTCGCCGAGCGAGGCGGCACCGGCCGCACTTTGGGGAGGGCACTCCGCCCCGATCCATGGATTTGGTGACCGCGCGCCAGATCCACGGATCGCTAATCCATGTTTGCGCGCCCCCGAAAGGATCCAGGATCGGGGGTTCGGGGCCCAGAAGTGTCGCCGCTCCGTGTGTTCCCACGCGCGGCCCCACGTTGCGGCCACCAGGGCAAACGCCTCCTCGGGCGCAAGGCTTGCCGTGGGTTTGCCGCGGTGCCGTCGTCTATTTGGGCGCGAGGCGCAAGGTTTGCCGTGGGTTTGCCGTGGTGTCGGCATCGTCCATTTCGGCTTGTCGAGAACAAGCGGCCTGGCGACACATCCATTTTTCGCCAAACAGTGCTTACATTTTGGATTTCTTGCATATTTTCTGAGGAGCTGGGCCTGTGTGGCGGTCCGGCGGCTATGTTGTCGCCGTCGCCGCCCCGTCGCCGCCTCGTCGCCGCCCGTCGTCTGGGCCTGCGTTGCGGTCTGGCAGCCATGTTGCCGCCGTCGCCGCCCCGTCGCCGCTTCGTCGTCGCCCGTCGTCTGGGCCTGTGTGGCGGTCTGGCGGCTACGTTGCCGCCGTCGCCGCCCCGTCGCCGCCTCGTCACGGCCTCGCATAGTTGCACCACGTCGAATGCGCCACATGGAGTGCACCTCGTAGATTGCACCACGTAGCTCACACCACATATACTGCACCACGTATATGGCACAACATAGATCACAACCCTTATATTGCACAGCATAGATCGCACCTCATGGATGGTGCCACATAGGTCGCACACACGATTTCTACATACATATATGTATATACATCTATATATATGATCGTTTATAGGTGTGTATATATGTATATATATATATCACCATCTAGTTTGCACCGCACAGGTTGCACCAACTATATTGGACCACCTAGCTTGCACCACATCTATTATATCGCACATCTGGATAATCATAGATCGCACAACATCGACTGCAACACATCTAATTCTCCGCATAGATTTACACATATGTCTGGCACATCATATGTCGCACAACATCTACTGGGCATCATAGAATGCAGTGCGTATGTTGCAAAGCATAGATCGTGTAACATAAATGGCACAGTAGGTACTGCACAACATAGATCGCACCACACATAGATTGCACCACATTTATTGTCCCTCATCGACCGCACATCATATATTGCTAGACCCACACCATGTGGGATCCACGCTGGCTAACAAGATCCCCTTCACCAAGCAGCAACGTCAACCAGGCAGCAACGTCATTGACCGAACGCCTTTTGGGCGACGACCTCCCTCCCTCCCTCCATCCCCCCCTCCCCTCCTTCCCTCCCTCCATTCCTCTCTCTTTCCCTGGCTCCCTGTGGGGGGGGTGAGAGGGGGCGCCCGGGTGGCGGCACCTCAGACGCCCGCGCTGTCGAGAGGAGCTGAAGTCCCTGCTCAGCGTAGGCTCCACGCCTCCTCTGATGGACTCCCCCGTGCCGCGATCGGAGCCCATGCCGCTGAGCCTGGACGAGTTCTGCATGTGGGAGATGCAGGCGCACGAAGGGCTTCCAGGGGAGGAGGCGGAGGAGGCGGAGGAGGAGGAGAAGGAGGAGAAGGAGGAGGATGATGACGAGGAGGAGGGGCAAGAGTAGGGAGAGTGATAATGATGATGATGATGCTGATGATGATGATGATGATGATGATGATGATGATGATGATGATGATGATGATGATGATGATGATGATGATGATGATGATGATGATGATGATGATGTGTGTATTCAGTACGGGAAGCAGGCACTGTAGTTGAGCATCGCCGTATGGCCGCTGCCACGTTTGCTCAAGCTCTGAGTCAGGGCGCCCTCCCATTCTGGTGATGCAAGCCGCCCTTCGCCAGCTTGTCGGGCGGATCGCAGAGGGGGCCTCGACTGGCCTCGTCGTGTGGGCTGGGCGGCCGACTTGCCCCGCGTGTGAGTGCTCGCCAGTCCTGAAGTGTCCGCCACTGACTTGCACGACTGGCGACGTGGCCCACATCTCGCCGGTGACGCCGCTCACGGTTGCGGTCCTCTGCGCTGGCGTCGCTTTGCTGTCCTTCTTCACGGGCCGGCTGACGCGCTGGGGAGCTAAGGGCGGGCGGTACGCCGACGACCTGGACACCACTGCTCGGGCCCAGGTGGCTCAGTACAAAGCCAAGGCTCTGGCGCAATGATGCTGGCAGCTGCTGGCCGACACCCGCTCACCGCGTCGCACGACCTGCAGGTGGGCGACTTCTGTGTGGTGCGCTACAACGTCCCAGGTGTGCCCCTGTACCACGAGAGGCTGGTTCACTACCTGCCGTTGGGTGCCGGGCTGACCGTGTCCATCACCACGCCCGATGGTGACGAGTACGAGGAGGTGTGGGGCCTGCCCGACATCGTCGAGTGGGAGCCGCTGCCAAACCGACAGCCGGGTGGCGTGTTGATGGGTCGGCCAGGAGCGCGATACTATCGGTTCAGAGCTGGTGCGATGCCGACCGCCGCGAGCCTCACGGCGTCCGCTGTGGCTGCTGCCGGGCGCCTGGGCCAGCCCGCGCCAGGCGGGCCCTTGGTGCCAGCCCTCGGCGGGCGCCTCGTCGGGCCGCCGGCGGGAGGTGCCGCGCCTGGCGCGGTCGAAGCCGGAGGCGCCGCGGCCCCGCTTGGCGGGGCACCCGGCGCGCCAGCGGCGGCCGCGGCAGCTGCGCCGGGCGGAGTGGCCCCGGCGGCGGGGCTTGGCGGCCTGGTGGCGGCGCTCGGCGGCCCAGCGGCAGGAGCACCAGCCGGCGTGCTGGTTCCAGCCCCGCTGCCCGCCCCCGCTGCGGCCGGCGCCGCGGCGGTCGTGGCTCCAGGGGTCGACGGAGTGCTCGCCGCCGCTGCCGCCGGGGCCCCAGCGGCCGCCGCCGCCCCCGTGCCCGCGGACGCGGGCGCCGCCGCAGCCGCCGCGGGCCCGCCCGCTGCGGCGGGAGGCGCGCCCGCGGGTGGTGCGGGTGCTGGCGGGCATGTCCAGGACGCGAGGGTGCTCCCGGTGGTGTACGACGCCATGGGCAACCGTCGGCGGGAGTTCCGCGAGGCGGTGCTGGCCTGCCGGGAAGACCCGTGGGCGGGGTGGCCCGTGCGCGGGCCGCGCACCGCGCTCTGGATCTTGCGGTACATCGTCGACCACGGCGGGACGCCGACGGGGATGCACTCTCGGTGGCGCAGTGAGGCCCGCCTCCAGGAGCACGAGCCCGGGGTGCAGGAGCATGAGCGCTCGTGCCGCGCGCTGGAGGAGCTCATCTGCTACGACCAGTGCAATGGCGCGAACCTGGCGGCCGTGGAGCTGCTCGTGCGGCACATCCAGGTGCAGCAGGAGAGGTACCGCGACAGGAGCGCGGGCGGCTCAGGAGGCGGTGGCCCCGACAGCGTCGACACTCACCTGTGCATGGGCAGCGAGCTGACACGAGGAGGAGTGTGTGTATGCCCTCTCCTCCAGGAGTGGGCCAGCGCCCAGCTGGCCAAGGAGCAGGCGCTGCTCAAGGAGCGGCGCAAGGCCCGGGAGGAGAGGGAGCTTGCCAAGAAGGGGAACAACAAGAAGAACAAGAAGGAGGAGGAGGGGTGATGTTCCCCTCGGCCGCGCCGGTTCCAGGCGGCCGGCGCGGCCCCCTGACTGAGACGCCTGTGGGCCGTGGTGCCTCTACCGGTCCGCCGAACAGAGAGGTTTTTGACATGCTGGGGCAGAGTGCCCGCCAGCGCGACATTTTTCCGCTGCCCCCGCTGTGACGAGATCACGTCGGCGCGGCGGGCCGCCGGGACCTGTCCAGGGTCACCAGGCGGCGTGGCGAGGCTACCAAGCACATCCTCGATTGGGGCGACGACTGCATCGACGCCCTGAACGACTTGCACGGCCACCAGGATCGGCCGGCGGCCCCCGCCCACGCTGGTCAGCGACACGCAGTGGAGCATGTCGAGTCGCGAGTGCGCGCGCTGGGCAAGCCCCCACCAGAGGCAGGCTTTCGCGAGGGAGCCCTTCGTGAGCTCCTCGCGGGGACGGGGATCTACCAGACGGGTGATCTCTCTTCCCGACGGCCGTATGTCAAGGAGTCCATTTCCTGGCCCTCGCCCGACGTGCAGCCCGTCCCGCTGTGCGCCTGCCTGGGTGAGGCCGAGTCTGAGTGGCTGGGCCGCTGGCAAAGCACCTTGCTCAGGCCAGGTCAACCTACAGCAGCCGAACGTGCTGAGTTCTGCCCGGCTGGACCTTTTTTTGACCCCAGTCTCTTCAGTAAGCCTCTGCTTTACGCCGATTTTGTCGCCAAGCTGTTGGCCCGCGGCATGGTGGAGCTGAAGGAGGACTGCGATGCGGCCACCGTCGGCTGCTTCTTCGTCGCGAAGAAGAACAACAAGTTGAGAGTGATATTTGATACGAGGTATGCAAATCTACTCTTCGGGCGACCCGCTCGGACCGCTTTGCCGACGGCTACAGCGCTGGCGGCTTTCGAGAACCCAGGGCACGACACTTACATTGCCTCGGGCGACATCGACAATGCTTTTTACAGGCTGCGGCTACCCGACGGCCTGTCGTCCTACTTCAGGCTGCCCGCCCTGGATGCCAGCCTGCTCGGGATCGCGCACCTGGGCGGGGCGCAGCTCGCGCGAGGGGCGCGGGTGCAGCCCTGCGTTTGCGTGCTGCCGATGGGCTGGAGCCATGCGCTGGCCCTCTGTCAGGGCGTGTTGCGGCGGGCCCTGGACGCCGCGGGGTTCACAGAGGGGCAGTGCATCGAGGACGGGAAGGCCGGGGTCGTGGTCGGCGAGGAGGGCGCCCTGGCGGTCGCCGGCTACGTCGACAACTACGCTGCCCTGGGTCGTTCACCGGCCATCGTCGACCGGGCCGCCCTCGCCGTCGCGCGCGTGCTGACGGATAAGGGGCTGCTCACGCACGATGAGGAGCCGGCCGCCCGCGATGCCACTTTCGTAGGTTTAGAGCTGAAGAGAGGACGTGATCTTTCGATTAAGGCCAGGAGCATTTGGAGGCTTCGTTTTTGGATCGACGCCCTGCTCAGGAAGGGCTTCTGTTCAGGAGACGCTCTCAGAATCATCATCGGTCACTTTACATGGGCTGGGTTGATTCGTCGCGAAGTCCTCTCTTTGCTCAACTCATGCTACCAGTTTGCAGAGCGGATCGGGCAGCGACAGGCCCGACTGTGGAGATCAGTGCGGCGCGAGCTCTGGCGAGCGCGCTGTATCTTACCGCTGCTCAGTGTTGACCTCAGCGCCGAGTGGTGGCCAGAGGTAGCCGCATCAGACGCTTCGCTGTTTGGTCTCGGAGTCACTGTCCGAAGAGCTCCCATTCAGCTGGTATCCTCAATTGGCCGACGCAGTGAGAGATGGCGTTTTCGGGTTGACGGGGCCCAGCGGGCTCGCGAACATGCACTTCATCAGGCTCCTGTGGACTCCGTCAATGACCCCGACAAGGCCCTTGAGAACCTGCTGGTCGACAACCCCGTGGTCTTCGACGAGGTCCCCATGGGCTTCCTGAAGTCAGACACCTGGAAAGTCGTTCATGCCTCGAAGGTCGCTGGGTCCACGGACATCCTAGAGCTCGAGGGGGAGGCGCTCCTAATGGCTATTCGTCACACGCTCAGAAACACTGGGGCTCTGGGGAAGAGGATCCTGTTCATAGTGGGCAACTTACCGTTGGCCCTAGCGGCCACAAAGGGGCGGGCAAACTCTCGATACCTCCGACACGTGCTTCAGAAGATAGCTGCCCTTTCACTGACCACAGGGTGCAGGATAGTTGTACGTTGGGTCCCATCCGAACTCAATCCTGCTGACAATCCGTCTCGAGGCGATCACGGTTTTTTCATTACTCCCTATCACGTGCACCTTGCCCGGCCGCATGGCGGGGCGCCGGCGGCCAGCGGCGTCGCAGGCCGCCGTCGAGCGGGCGAGGAACGCCCAGCAGGTGGCCGCCTCCACGGTGCAGACCTTCGGCCTCTCGGTCCTCGAGTCCGCGGCGGTCCGCCCGAACGCGCAGAGGCAGTACCAGAACCGCCTGGCGACGCTGGTCCTCTTCTGCCGGACGTACCACCTGGACTGGGACAGCTGGGAGTCGCTGGACAACGCGGTCACCGCGCTGCTGAACCATCAGTTCTTGGACGGCAAGTGCTCGGACCTGGGGACGCAGCTGATCGCGGCGCTGGCGCACGTCTACCCGAGCCTGGCCCGGCGCAGCGGGCTATACCTGCCACGCGCGTGCCGCGCGGCCGGGGCCTGGAAGCGTCGGGCGCCCGGGCGCTCGAGGCTGCCGATGCCGAAGACCGGCGCGGCGGCGATCGCCGGGGTGATGCTGTTCCTCGGCCAGCGCCGAATGGCCATCTACACCATGCTGACCTTCATCTGCTACCTCAGACCGCTGGAGGGGATTGCGCTGCTGGGCAGGCACCTGGTCGCCCCGGTGTCGGCGGCAGGCGCGAGCTACGCGAGCTGGGGGCTCCTTCTCCACGACTTCGAGCTCGGCCAGCCGTCCAAGACCGGCACCACGGACGACGCGGTGCTCATCGACAAAGA